GCGTTCATCTTGGGCATTGAAATGGTCAGAATCATCACATTGAGTGGGGTAGAGCATAATTTTAAAGTCGTGAGACTTCAGGTGGTTGAGTTATTAGGTCAGATCCCATTTTTACGCTCTCGCGAGTAGTGATTGAGTAGCGATTGCCAAGAAATATCAATAAATTTTTACTAAAACCTCTAGCCCTAGGAACATGCATTACCCCACTTAATTTGATCATTCTGACCATTTTAATGCCCATGATAAGCGCTTAGCTTCAATCAGAAGCTAAGATATCTTGTAATAAGTGTGTCAATCACTACTCGCGAGAGTGTAAAAATATGTTTTAACCGAATAATTCAACAACCTGAAGTCTGAAGACTTTGCAACCACGCTCTACCCCACTTAATGTGATGATTGTGACCATTTAAATGCCCAAGATGAACGCTAAGCTCCAATCAGAAGCTGAGATATCTTGAAATAAGTGCATCAATCGCTACTCGCGAGAGCGTAAAAATGGGATCTGACCTAATAACTCAACCACCTGAAGTCTGAAGACTTTGAAACCACGCTCTACCACTTAATGTGATGATTCTGACCATTTTAATGCCCAAGATGAACGCTAAGCTCCAATCAGAAGCTGAGATATCTTGAAATAAGTGCATCAATCGCTACTCGCGAGAGCGTAAAAATGGGATCTGACCTAATAACTCAACAACCTGAAGTCTCAAGACTTTAAAACTATGCTCTACCCCACTCAATGTGATGATTCTGACCATTTCAATGCCCAAGATGAACGCTTAGCTCCAATCAGAAGCTGAGATATCTTGAAATAAGTGCATCAATCGCTACTCGCGAGAGCGTAAAAATGGGATGTGACCTAATAACTCCTGAAGTCGCAAGACTTTAAAACTATGCTCTACCCCACTCAATGTGATGATTCTGACCATTTCAATGCCCAAGATGAACGCTTAGCTCCAATCAGAAGCTGAGATATCTTGAAATGAGTGCATCAATCGCTACTCGCGAGAGCGTAGAAATGGGATGTGACCTAATAACTCAACAACCTGAAGTCGCAAGACTTTAAAACTATGCTATACCCCACTCAATGTGATGATTCTGACCATTTCAATGCCCAAGATGAACGCTTAGCTCCAATCAGAAGCTGAGATATCTTGAAATAAGTGTGATAATTGTTGCTTGCGAGACTGCTAATATAGTAAAATCGGATTTTTGGCGATTTCTCAAAAACTAAGTCTCTTAGGCCTTAAGTATCTTCATAGCACTAATATAAACATGCATCTTAGGCACATTTTGGTTCATGCCTGAGGTCTGTATCACAATCAGAAGCCGAGATAATGTATAGTTGGGGTCGCGATATGGGTGCGGTCAAAAAGGGCGTGATTCCGAGAAATGCCCCACTGGTGAAAAAGTGTACCCGAGTAATTAGTGTCATTTAGGACCATATAAGTCGGATTACATCGAGAAACCGAGCGGACGTCCCAATGTGAGCGGGACTTTTGCCTGGTCCAGGATTAAGATATCTGTTGAGAATTATATACTCGAGACACTGCACATCATAAAAAGTACAAGCCTGAAGCCTGGCTATGTTAACAGAGTGTATGACTATGCTAATGCTAATTGGTTATGCTTATAGTATCCGTGTACAACTCAGTAGCAAGCTTCTTTTCCGCGCAGGGTAGCCCAGGTTTGAATATGTTATCCACTGTTTACCCCTCAGTTCATATTATTCCTCACTTCTGAGCTTCATGATAGTAGCAAGCGATGGTGCGTGCCGGATTATATTGAGTATAAATATGCTATTGCTTTATATTTTCTGTGATTTTGTTCGTCTTATATGAGTACACTCACTACACAACCATGATATAAAGCAATGAAAGGCATTAGTTTGGTCAAATCAATAGTAATAGTAGAAACAGTTGTTGGATGTTTACAAAAATATTTTTAAGTTTGTGAATTGATATCGGCAGCTGTTTTATTCCCCTATTCACAACTCTGCACCAAATTAGTTAGAATGATCATTCAGGGCTGGGGCATAAGAATTTAGAAATGTCTAATTTGTAACCATCGGTTTGTATAGAATCTAAAATCCTGCTGATGATTTTTGTGCTCACAAATACACGCTGTAAGTTTGCATCACGTACACTTACAGCTAATATTCTGTCTTTGAGATTGCTTGCGAACACATTATAGGCCACATTATAGCTGGTGGTTGCCAAGTTGTTTTGAATTTTGATAACAGACTTTGTACTTCTCTTGTCATGTTAGAGTGTGATATTTATAATTTTTGTCAAAAAACCAGCAGTCATCCAAGTTTGGAGTTCTACAATAGTATTCAACTGAACTGTAGTTCAAGTCTGTCAAAGTATGCATTTCTTGTGATGCACTTCTCGTACGTGATATCAATAGCTCAAAAGTTCAACTGGTACTAGCTTCTTGAGAAAATTTGTCAGTTGTCTAGTTCTTGTGCGACTAAGTGATAACGTAGGGAATTAGAGTACATGCCTGGTGATGATATTATATACACTTCTATACAAGCCCGGACTCCAGAGGTCTGTTATCCGGTTGCGGTGTAGCTGTCGAGCTGCAGAGGAGCTATCAATTATCATAGCTTCATCAAATTTGAATATATCACTATCAGTGCCAATATTCAGCTTCATCGGCTGCGTTTATATTTGCTATTTTTCGAAAGTAATTGTTTCCTTTTTGTTATAATTATATTATGTTGAGCAACCTATTATATTTATACACTGAAAGTGAAAGCAGTTGACTTTTACCTAATGAGAATAAATTGTATTTTCCTTTTCTTCTAGAAATCTGATACGTTCCGCCTCTTCGCTTTTAGTCTCTTGACTATTTCCTGTCCCAATTTCTTTACGTGTCCGGAATACATATCGTTTACTTTAAGTAAGTTAATTACTATAAAGTTAATACTATAAGCACTGTACTGCAATGTTATTATTTCAGAAATGATAGTTGACTCAGTTACCGATTAGATGGATCAATGAAAGTATTAGAAAATAGAATCACTGTCTTTCTACTACGTTCCCTTTGTTCGCTTAAACTTATTGAAAATATCGATATTTTCCCCATAAACTGCATACCTTATCGGACGTTATTTGACCGGACATTGCGTAAATGGACATACTTTTGAACGGACATTAAAATGAACGCTCGAATGTATTCATTTAATGTATTTAATTTATTAACTACCTTGTCGGACTTCATTTAAACGGACATTAAAATGAACTCTAGGGCCTCCAGCGTCCAATTAATGTCCGTTCAAATGAAGTCCGAAAAGATAGGTAAATCTGTTAGAATCAACCGTATTTAAGATTTAATTCTTTAGTTTTTATTCGCCGAATAACAGCTGCGAAGGTCGCTTATATGTCAGTTTCTCTTTATTGCGAGGTCCAATAAACTAATAAACTACACTTGTACCTACCTTGTTCATAACCTAAGGGTGTAAGGTAAGATAAGAAGAAAACTTTGTGAGGAGAAGGATCTGGAAGCCGCCAGTAGCTGCTGACGATCACGATAACAATTCCTTGTTCCAGTTGTCAGAGCATTAACTTCTCAGATGCCTGACGACGGAGTGGATGCCAAGGGTAAGTTCAATCCAGCGACTGCAGCTCCACAATGAGTCAACACAGTTTGTTGATAAAAGTTCCGGCACCACTGAATTGTGAAATAAGCCGGGGATATTCCAGACTCCAGTATTCTGTTTGTTCGAGCTTTTGACCAGTTATTCTCTACAGATAAGTACAGATCCAGGAATAAACTGGCAAGTCAATGAAAAATTCTTAGACCTGAATATCATGGTTTATGTCTGCGATGTGTAATTGGTCGTATTTTGATAGGAGCAGGAAGCAGTGTGAACTGCACGTAACTAGTAGCACTTGTACATGGATTACCCACTGTATGGCTTGTTACCCTTGTACTATAGTTAGTTGTACTATAATTAGTTATAGTAAGTGATGTGATAACTCGTTATGATAGTGCTGCCAAATTATTATATTTCTTCGTTAAGTACAGGTTACCTCTGCTCTTCTTAGTTGCATAATCCCTCGAACTATAAATGCTGAAAAAGAAGAATAAGGGGAATGAAAGAGCCAGGCACCGTGCTAAAGATGTGACAAGTAAGTCAGAGGCACGCGTATCATCATCAGTAATTGTTAACATGAGTATATATATAAAGTTGTATATCATACCAATATTTTAAGATGTAAAGATTGAATGAGACCTAATTATCTACTTTTGTATCTTGATTGTATCTTGGTCGCCTATTTCTAACCTAGAAAAACGAATTACTCGAATATCGCTGCATAGGCATTACACTAAGTCTTGCAAAGAACAATTCGAACTAGGATCGGAAGTTAAATGATATTACAGATACCAGGGCAAGTTTATTTACCTGACTATCATAGAATGTTTCAATTTTCAGGAGTCTATTCGACATTTTCAGGAGTCTATTTGACAAGTTATTTGGAGCTTGCACCATTCCTAATTTCCCAAAGATGACAGCATTATTTATTATGGTGTACCTACGTGGGATCGCCGATCGTGTTGGATTTAATGATTTTAACATCCACCACATTAGTAATATAATCTCAATTGTGACATAAGGACATATGCACGTAATGCATTCAGCATCTCTGATGATCTGATATTTAAATTCAATATTAAACTTAAAGACACTAACCAAGGTATAAGGTGTTACATAATATGTCTGGAGACGCATAAATCTCATTTCAAGTTTTAACATGTAATATATATTTGGCTACCTCGCACGTCTTATATGAACCATAAAAACACGTACTTTTATTAAAATAGACAATCCTTGAAGTGATCTCAACTAACCATAACAACAATACTATGTATACTTTATAAGATTATCAGCACAGTGTACTAGATCCAATGAACTACTACCTAGTAATAAGATCAACATTCCCTAATTAGATACGACCGCCCCTACAGCAGTATAGCGGCTCCCCTTAAATAAGAGGCCACGTTCAGCATTCTATCACATTCCCGTTCTCCTACACACATTCCTTTTGTAGTTTTGTTTGGTCTCTGTTTTATTATCCAGTTCACTGACTATTTGCTTGTGTGAAACGGGTAACCGCTTATAATGGGGATGTTTGGAAGTGACGACGAGGAGAAGAAGGAGGAGTCAGGGGGTGGTTCTGATGGAGATGAAAAAGAAGGTGCTCCATTGTTTCTATTATGGCCAGTTTTCGCTTGTCTTATTTTGCTGTAGTGTGAATATCGCGAGTAAGATCAGTTCTCAGACGACGCCGCTACAGGTGGTGCCGTTTGTACCTTACCGGACAATATTTGACCGGACATTTTGTGATCGGTCATAATTTTGAACGGACATTAAAATGAACGCTCCAAGGCATTTATTTAACATATTTAATTTAACTACCTTTTCGGACCTTATTTGAACGGACATTTAAATGAACGCTAAGGCCTCCAACGTCCAATTAATGTCTGTTCAAATAAAGTCCGATAAGGTAGCTCCAGTCGGTCCACTTTCAACATTTTTTGGAAAAGAAGCTGAAAGGTGTAATGAAATAATAAATCTAACGTGCACTCGACATAAAGCGGACGGTAACGGGCACAAACTGCATTCCTATTATAAGTACCATTGTACCAATCATGATCTGGCGCTCGCGACAGTCCGTGGGAAATATTACAATAATTATTGTGATCATGAGCATTCCTTAAATTCCCTTGGTACGTATGTCAGTGAACCTTGTATAAACCGCAATTAGTAGGTAGTATAGTGTCTTTGACGATTCTGTCCATGATATTGTCGCGAATAGTGATTATTACAACAATATTCTGGTAGTTGTAGTCGAATATATCGGGTTATTGATAGTTGATACCCTTCGACCGTAAACTGAGAAATCGTTCACATATTAGGAGGCAGTAAAACTAGCGGGCTGCGATGAATAGGGACTCCTACTTAACTGCTAATTAGGAGACTCCCACTTAGCTGCTAATTAAGGGACTCCCACTTAGCTGCTAATTGCCATGGCAACATTAAATATATTGACTCTGTTACATCGATTCCTCAAATTATTTGTTAAAAAGTAATGTCGAAAGTCTTTAAAATATAACTTAAGCTAGATTTTTGAAATAAAGGTGGGCTTACTAAATATTTTCAAAAAGTCGTACTCAAAACCTATCTTGAAAAACATTAAATTTAATCATTTAAATCCATGACATGAAGTATATTTCTATTATATAATGTGACAGAATATATTTTTCAGATCAAATTTTTGGGCCTACCATAAAGATCCTGGTAAAGAAAGCAACAAACCTCAAGAATGTTCTGAAGTTTGGTACTATCGACCCTTATGCTGAAGTTTCTTTTGAGAGTAAGTCTTGTGAGAATGGAAATAATTTTCGAGTTCAATAGAACATGTCTCCTACTGTACCGACTACGTTTAACTTGTTCTAATGCTTCATCATATTCATGGTGGCTCTCTCTCTCAATTTATTCGCGACCTACATAACCTTAAGTTTTTAACTTAATTGAACTGATGTATCATCGAAACTTTTTCTCGTAGATTACACGAAGAAGACAAAAGTTCAAGATGACACCAAAAATCCCGAATGGAATGAGGAGCTCATCTTTCCTAGAGCTAACTCCGACTCAGTCAAAGTGCAAGTTAAGATATTCCACCAAGAATCTCTGGGAAAGGACAAGTAAGACTATAGAATATAAATTGTCATATCATCTACTTACCTGGGGACCCCAGGCTATATCTTATATGTTCATAAAGAATAGAGATTCGGCGGAATGACAGGCTGAGCGCCGCCCAGTAAATCATCTACTTGAAATCTTACCAGTAATCTTATTTCAACATTAACATTAAGTGAGCTCGAAGAGTAGAGGGAACTACAATACAATTAATAATTATATAATGCACCTACATCTCAAATGTTTATGCTCTCAATCATGTTCGAGTTACAATTAACAACAATCATGTTCAGATTGCTAGCGTACGGTACGGGTAATATCACTGGCTACACGAAGTCTGACTGGCACGATATCGAGATCAAACTAATAGACTCTAAGAAGAGAGCGACTGAGGTATAACCATAGCTAATTATTAGCTAATTATTAGCTAATTATTAGCTGCTAATAGCCCTTATCAGTGGCCAGTACTATTCAGAATCATTCAGTACTTTTCCGGTTATTCTCTTATTCCGGTCACTATAATTTATTGATAAGTTATTCTTCCCAGGGGGTAGTAAGTCTGGGTGTTGGAGGTGGTGGAGAGAAAGGTGGAAACGCAGATGAGGAAGGAGGGGAGGAAGGGGAAGAAGAGGAGGATGAAGATGAAGAAGAGGAACTCCAAGCGGTAAAATATTTTAAATTCTTTGACTATAGTTTACCATACATTCTTTTGTACAAATAAAGTTTTGACTTTATAGAACATTTATTGATTGTTTTTAATAAGAACACTTTTACTAAACAGGATGGTACCCCAGTCCCTGGATCTAAAAAGAAACGGAAGAAAAAGAAAAAAAGAGGAAAACCCGGCATGTCGACCGCCGTTGAGTAAGTGATTTATCTATTATTATAAAATTAACTATATTCCTAATCCAACTGCATTATTAGGATTGAAACGTAAACCCTCGTTAAATCCATTATCCTTGCTGCACTGCAAGAAAATTTCTTTTACAATCATTATATCCACTTACGAGCTCTCAAGGATAAACACGTTTCATCGAAAGTTCCATTTACAAAGTGTGTATAACTCATCAGACTCTTTTCAGGGAGGCAAGAGCCAAGATTGATTTCGGTTCGTTATCGACCAAACAAGAAACATTCCAGATCAGATTCGTTGTACACAAAGCCAGGTATCTATTCTATTCTGTGCTCGATTTTTATCCCACATCATAGTCCATAATATAAGCTACCGTATATCAATATCGCAGAGAAAAAGGAACTCGTTCCTCAACTTTTGCTTCATAACCATTAAATCCCTTGCTAGGCAGTTAAAAGGGAGCATCGAAACTCCTATTGTGCGTATGAGTTTGGACAGCAAACTACTACGAACCCAGCCAAGACATGGCAAAGCTCCCAAATATAACGAGACCGTCATATTCTCTGTAACAAAATCGGAGAAAGATCTTCTCAACCTACCTATTGAAATTGCGGTAAGTTAATGTGAATTATACAGTAGCAACATTTGCCTTTTTCTCATAACTGTAAATGAAATAAAGCGCCCAATTGACTCAAAATTGATTTCTGATATGAAGCAAAATCAATTTTCCTGTTAATTGTTGACTTTTATAAAAATTTCATTTTAACACTCTCAAACCAGGTTTTAGACACGTCTAAAGAACCGCCCTACAACATGATCGGACTTTACAATTTAGATCTCACTGTTGCCTTCACTGAGAAGGATAAGCTTCTCGATTACAAGTGGTTTGCTATCATTGATCCCGACGAGCCCCAGGAGGGCACAACGGTATGGAATATAAACACAGCTGAACTGTTCTTCATCTTAACTCTTAACTCTTAAAGCTGCTCGCTTGTTTGAATTACCATGATATGTTATTAAATGTAAACGCAGAACACTCCTCATGTCTCCAACTAAGAACCGCCTCCTTTTCAGGGTTATGTAAACGTGTCGATCCAGATAATCCCACCAGGAGCATCCTACAAGAAGCTGTCCAAAAAGAGTGACACAGAGATAGACGTAGCTAGTAATGTGTTCTACCCTCCAGGCATCACCCTCCAACCCGGCCAGTTCACTGTCAAACTCTACACTGGCGAGGATCTTCCTCAAAGTAAGAAACCCCTTCATGAACTCAATTTTAATACAGTTATAGCTTTATAGCGATTTATGTAATCGCTGAATCGATTCGGAACCTAGTGGTTTGACTACATGAACATTTGTATTCCGTAAGTAGACTACATAATATAATGTAAGTAGAAATTAAGTTAATCTTTTTCAGTGGATTCATCGACTCTGGCTAGTGTTAAAAACTTCTTCTCCAGCGGGGTATGTACTATTACTTAGAAAACGAGGCTGCAAGGTTAATAACATGATTATTTTTAAAGTAAAATGTGCATCCTTGTGAATCTAGCTAATGAAACTGACACTAAAATTTAGAAATCCATTTAGGAAAAGCCAGAAGACCTGGTGGATCCCTTCGTTCAGTTCGAGTTTGCAGGATCAAAGATAGAGTCGTCTACTCAGTACGGTACATTCGACCCGGTGTGGGGACAGAAACTCGTTATTCATGGCCAGTTCCCGTCCATGGCGGAGAAATTTGTTGTCCGAGTCAAGGATAGGTGCGTAGGTTTACTGTGATTGGGAATTTACAGTTTTTTATTACTTTGACGGTTTTTTCTCTAATTAGTGTTTCGACACCATTCGTCCTACCGCCTTAAATGTAAAACTTCCTGTGGTATGAACGACTACTGAGTTCCCTGTGTGTTACACATGAAATTATAAAGTAACACGTACAATGTACAGTTACATGGAATTTTGGGTCCAGGTGGATACGTCACCACATGAGTGGAATCATAAACGGTTAACTCTGTTTGAAGCAGACATTTGCGGCACCTTTACTTGTGTAGAGGTGTTTAATAATTGTACACTGATAATTGTTATGAAACAATAAAAGAGGCGAACAAATGAAGGATAACTGTTCTAACTTCTAGTCAACATCTATCAGTATCAAGTCAAATTTATATCACGCGAACGTTAATGGGTAATTGAATCATCAAATATGTATTCGATATTCGGTCATATTCAGCGACTAAATATATTCGGTCGACCGAATCACCGAATATTCGATCGAAACGAATACCAAATCTGAATATTATCCAAACTTTTCGGTAACCCTACCTTTCACATTTATTCATTCATAACCAACACAAATTGTTTCAGTGATGATTTTGGAGGTGACGACCTGATAGCAACAAAATTGCTCAAAATGTCCCAGATTTCGTTTTCCTCTACTAACTCAGACCTTGGGTTCCAGCCAACATTTGGCCCAAGTTACATTCCACTGTACGGAGCTCCCAGAGAATTCACGGAGTTCTCCGGAAAATACGAAGATCTTAATAAGGGAGATGTAAGTTTGGGACATGACAAATATCCTCCTTTGCTTTATTTCACGGCATATTCGTCACCCTAGTCAAACTCTGTGTGAGGAAGGAGTAAGGGCCATCCTCCTGTCCTAAGCTACCATTTGTTAACCAAAGCAGTTTGTTTCATCACGTGAATTACCCCTCAGGAGCCTGGAATCGCCTACAGAGGTAGAATTTTGATGGAACTAGGCTCAAATATGGGAGAACCAGACCCAGCTCTCAAAAACAAGTCGAACATACCTCAAAACGAGAGTGATGATGTGATGGTTAGTTATAACCAAATCTAGTAATGAATGCTGGAAACTATCATAATATCTATATGTTTCAAGAACCTCCCTCCGGCTGATAGTGGTATTGCCTTCGCAGTTAAATAGTTTTAATGTTTCTTGTGAATCATATTTAATTAGAGTAATATCCTCCCACTTCAGTCAAGCCTGAGGCGACACAAGTACCACTTGTTCACATCGTTTGACACTGGTAACATGATCAGAGAGAAGGACAGTCAGGTAGAGTTTGAGGTGAGTATCGGAGATTACGGAAACAGTCTCTCAATGAACGGCAGCACCCACCCTTCCACCACTCAACCTTGTAATGCAGGTACATATCTTACTGTCATTGCTACGTTTATGTCTAAAATATTCACCATCTAATATCTATATAATATATATATTATATATATCCTGGTTCTACCAGGTTGTCATTCAAATTCCCTGATTTCTCTTTACCGCTGCAGTGTACGATGGTACTCACTACTACTTCATGCCCTGGTCGTCTTCCAAACCGGCAGTAATTATACATTCGGAGTGGGAGGACGTGGAGTTTAGGGTGGAGACCTACAACACTATGATGTGGACTCTGGAATACATGGTAATGTTCTTTTATCTTGAATAGAACCTAGTTACCTGCATGAGACCTGGAATAAATCGTTTTATTTTTATCAAGATTATTGTCAGTGGTCACCAAAGCTTCTTAAATAGTTTTAAAGTAAGCGAGTAAGCAAGTGAAGCCATTAAATAATCCGGTTCTATTTTCAGGAAGAAGAAGTTAGGAAGTTTCAAATCATTGAACTCGCCAGAGCAAAGCAATCTGATCTATCCACAAAATGTAATGAAATGATCCAAAACCTGATAAGCGAGCTTACGTGAGTGACTGTTTATTCTGTTTATCCATCACCAAACTTTCTGTTTCATTAATACAAAACCTAGATGCTCTGACCGGTAACCTTGTTTATTAACCGAATGTTTCCTTCAGGGGTCTCGCTCTTCCGGAACCTCCAGAAAACGCCACTAAACTCGATAGGAATCTGCACAAATTGCGCCTTTTCCAAATTGTAAGTGATCTCGATTCCCCAATACCCATGCTATTAAAATGAAAATATCCATGAGAATATATAATTCACTAAACATGATTATCATTTTCCGAATTTCTTCGTTCTCTTATTTCGGATAAATAAAAATAATTTGCCCAAACATTAGGGATTGGTTAAAAATTTAGAAGAAGAAACTCCCGAGTTTGTTGGTATCAACTTGGACCGTCTTGATGATGTGGTCATCGATATTGACGATGAAACAAAGCTTGATCAAATTGTAAGTGCATTTTTGAATAATTTATAATATCTGAAATGTTCTGATTACAATGGTTTCTGTCTAGAACCATGGGCTAAAGGTTGAAACTGAAATTATTGTCCCACTGTAGGAAGAAGAGGAGGAGGATGATGAAGCTGAGGGTGCTCTGATAGAACTGAGTGATGATGAAGATACCTCGGATCTGCCTATGCCAGCCTCGGGGTCCTTGAAGGACGAGGAAGATGAAGAGAACACCAATGCTGTGTTCTTCGTGAGTTTATTTTCAAACATATGTTTAAAAGTAACTTTAAGCTTATGGGTTATGTTTTAATAATATCTCACTTGGAGCTTGTCTGGTAAAGTATAAGAAGTAGAGCTTAACTCTGCCATTTTCCTCAGGATTGTTGTCTTGATGAACTGGAAGCTATGCAATCTGGATGCCTACAAAAGGTGGCACCTGAAAAAAAGCTGAGTCGTGTTGCAAATGTCATATCAAAGTTCAAATCACTCTGTTTTGAGGTACAACTACAAATACAATACTTATTATTACATCCTTTTGTCCAGCCTTTAATGACTGCTGGTCAACAATTATGAACATGAATTGATATTAAGCAAAATAGCTGGACTGGACGGTATGAAGTGTCTGTTTTATAAAACTGTCTATTTCTAACGCTGATATCAATTTCAGCCTCAAATTAGCGTCCCCGATGTTTTCATCTGGATCATGAGTGGAACGAGCAGGATTGGCTACACTAGGATCCCCATCCATGAGATTCTATACACTGAGAATGAAAGGGGACGAGGTAAAAACTGTGGCAAAACTGGGTCCTATTTCCTGAAGAAGCCCATGAAAGAGAAGATCGGAGCCCATCTCTCCATGAATATCTGGTTTGGAAAGTTTGAACACGTCGCCAGTGCATTTAAGACGCCCTCTGGATCAGAAGTAACTGTGTTTGCGGAAACTTATGAAAATGAGATGAGCGTATGCGGAAGCTGGACTACGAAACTTCTCCCCAGACCAAAGTGGTCGGATAGTACTGGCAAGGTTTGTTTTAAAAGCACCTAAAAGTACCTTTACTTTCATTTATTTTAAAAATGTAAACCTTTACTTTAACCTAGCTATATTTTTTAGTGGATCATGAATAACTTTGCAGTACGAGATCACCAAAGATTCGTTTGAACCACCAGAAGCATGGAGGTTTGACGGGGATTGGATTATCCAGGTGGATAAAGCTATTTCCTTTGACAATGAGCGTGGCTTAACAGGTTTTAACTTAATTCTTTTCTCCATCTGATTACTTATATAACTCCAATTTTGACCTATTTGACGGCCACTTATTTTTTCATAATCGCACCTGATTTTTTGTCTCGGTTTTTCCTCCTCCGGGCTAAATGAAACTTGTGAACGGACAGGGAGTGCGATTATAAATTGATCGCACTGTTTTGAGAAACCGAAACATAGTTGGTGCGATTCAAAACTAATCGCACTGATTTTCTGAAAGTCTGAATATCGTGATCCGCAATATGCCGCTTATACGCTTAAACATAAGTTTACATTAAGTTTACGATCGTAATAATATAGCTCAATAATGTCATGTAGTGTCAATAAAGAGCCACGTGCGAGTCACAAAAATAATCATCTTGACATATGTTGGTCACGTGCCATATGTTGGTCACGTGCCAACGTGTTCACAGCTCTGACATCTATCTGACTCATCTGAGACCCTATGAGGCTTAGTGTGACCAGCTGCTGTTTTTTCTTTTGTGGTCACACGAACCTAACATTTCGACGGATAGCCGTCACCACGCCCTTGTTTCCCCCTCTGTGTGGCTCTTTATTGACTTCGGCCATATCGGGCCCGTAACAAAAGAAAAAGCAGTGGCTGGTCACATTAAGCCTCATAGGGTCTCAGAGTAGTGAATACGTTGGCACGTGATAAAGCTAATTATTTTAAAGCATAACTAATAACTATATGCTTTAAGTTTGCTGTTTGTAACAGGTTACAAACAGCAAATTTATAGGCAACTAACCAACTCACTCTCTCTCCAGTTTTCAGAGAGACCGTGTTTCAAGGACAAACCAGGAAGCCCGGTGCAAAGTGGACCGCCTCCTCCACTGACACTTGGTGGCAGGACGAGAAAGGGGACGACAGTCCGCCAATGGATGAGATACCTTGTAAAGAGGGGTGGAAGTGGACTACTGAATGGTTACTGGATATCCAGAGAGCGGTTGACAGTGCGGGATACGAGTATACCGATGAGGCGGATATGGGGAGTTATGGACCAGTGGAGAGGAACTACCATCTAGCAAGGAGGAGACTCTGGGCAAGAGTTAGAGAGAGAACTGGCGCAGAAACCAAAGTGGGTTGGGTGAAATTTGAGGTCGGCAGCGGTTTTAGCCTAATTTGGCTACGCATGCCCGTGCATGGCTGTTAATTGAAATTTTCTGCTGAAATCAATAATCATACAATCTTTCTCTTTTTCATATAATAACCTTTCTTTGTCATATAATCGCTTATTTCATTTATTCAAACCTGCTTATTGTCACTGCTGCTAATTTCAATACTGATCATTTTGTTAAAAATTTGAACCTAGGCTAAAGAGGACGAAAGGGACCCAGAGGGCTGGGAGTACAGCAAACTATTCACCACCAAATTCCATCTGAAAGAGAAAACATTCGATATGGTCCGAAGAAGGAGGTGGAACAAAAAGCTTGTGAGCGAGGTTCCGGTACCCATCACATTTACTGTGTATAAGGTGGGTCTCAGTTATGTCTGTCTCAAACTTGAGTAGCTACTACGAAAATTCTTTACTTATGGCAATTGAAAATAAAATATCAGATTAAACATATGTTTTTGTATTTGAACTAAGACCTCTCTTACAAAATCCCTATCACCTAGGATCTGGATGACAAGGACAAAGACGACGCAGAAACGTTCAACATAGCTCCTCGTATCATGACAGAGTATCCGGCCAACAACGTGAAGAAGTACCAGCTGAGAGCATACCTCTACCAAGCCAGGGGTCTCCTGGGAGCTGATGCTACGGGCTACTCCGACCCATACGCTAGGATTGTGTTCGGAAACCGAAGTGGTGTGACAAAGGTCATCAAGCAGTCCTGTAGTCCCATGTGGGATACTACCATCATGCTGGATAACATTGAGATCTGTGGAGACAAGGCAGATATTGCTAGAAACCCACCAAATGTAGTTATAGAGGTGTTCGATGAGGATGCACTGGTAAGTTATGAAATGATTATTGAATGTTACAGCTACTTCTACGGCTACAAGTTACAGCTTTATGTTGCAGCTAAATGTAAGAGCTAAATACTTACTGCTAGTGCTAACTTCCTCTGTTAGATTCTAACCCCTATATAACTGCTATATGTTACAGAAAGCAATTCTATGTGCTGAAGCCCATGTTCTTGAATTCTACGATTTTACCTTAACTAAGCACTTAGCCCTTTAAGATCTTTTAGCACTGTCTCTACTATCAAGAAAGAATTCTTACTCAGTCTTTCTTATACCTTCGGTTAAAAAACTATGCATGCAATAACTTTATCTACAACTTTTTATCCTCTTTAAACTTCTACCCTTTTCGAAATCTTGACAGCACCAAGGTTTGCATGATAAAATGAAGAAGATTAAAAGCAAAAAAGATGCACTGTCAGTAGATTTAGCAGCAGGACAGATTCCCTCACATGTGCAGGCAAAACTTAACAGCACTCCCGCAGCCTTCGTAGTGAGTATCTGTGTTCAGGTTTAGTGTTACCTTATCGGACTATATTTCGTCGGATACTACCTGGGTGCTGGAGGTTCACTTCTCACGTTAAAATGTCTGCTCGGGTGACCGAGAACTTAACCCAGATTAAAGTCCGTTAGGACTTCCGGCTTCCATGCACGTTTAAAAAAATCTTGCACCCAAAATTATATCCTTCCAAATAATGTACGTTAAGGTATCAACTACACCCCTAGCTGCATATTCGGTGTTAATCTTATCTTTACATCAACTAACCTCTTTTGTTAGCAAATTTTTCACTGTTTTCTTATTGCTCAGCTAATCTGAATTACTGTTTAAATTCTACTTGCTGCTATATTGCCACCTGCTAAATTATATGGATGGCTGAAATATTGACGATAAACTCATTAAACGACAGTGGATGTTTGATTTCTCTGTCCAGCTCGTTTTCCTATTTCCAGAACCACGACAAACTAGGAAGGGTTGTGTGCACCCCTACCATGATCAATGCTCCTTACCAACTAGAATCTGGTACTCATCTACAGTGGTACTCCATTGCTGGGGTTAAAAAGTCTAAAGGCGAGCTCCTTGCCGCTTTCGAGCTTTACGAGGTATGAATCATATTTTCATTATTATTAATAATTCCCATATAATGAGAATGAAATTAAACTCGATTATGGTATTCATTTTAAATGTTGAGTAGATAAATAATAAGTTACATTGTTTCTTAACCTAGATCGGAGGGAGCGAGCTTCCACCTTTACCGAGAATGGAGGGGAACACTAAGTTTGTTGTTCCCGATAACATCCGACCAAAGTTGGCACGTACCAGAGTCGAAGTATGATATAATCCTCTTACAACTTACCGTTTTGTAGATAACATCCTCATACATTAACATCCTCATATATTAACATCCTCATACATAAACACCCTCATAATATAAGAACGAAGAATATTTTTCCGTCAATGAATTTCAGTTAATGTTTATTTTTACACTGGATTTGATCAACTTAGCATCAAATTAACCAATATTTCCAGTTTCTGACCTGGGGTCTGCGTGAGCTAGAAGATTTCAAACTGTCAGCAGTGGATTCTCCACATCTTGAGATTGAAGTTGGTGGAGAAGTGTTAACTATGGAGAAGATCAAGAGTGTAAAGAAGCACGCAAACTTCAAGAACCCCCAGAACTATATTGATGTTATGTTACCAGTTAACGAGCTATACTTGCCTCCCATCAATATACGTGTGTTAGACAACAGGTAAACATTTAATTATGAACAGGGAAATTCCAGTTCAAGGACTAATGATTTTATGTTTTTCGAAGCTATACATGAGATTTGTATGTTCATAATTTTTCAGGAACTTTGGATACACCCCTCTAATAGGAGTCTGCTCGATCAAAGAGTATGGTCAATATAGAACTACATTCCAGGCTCTCATGGAGCTGGCTGAGCATATGGAAAGTTAGTCACTATAAATATCTTGAAAACATTTCTCGTTTGAACTTTGTTTGTTCAAATGACAGATAAAACTAACAATTCTGTATTCAGTATTGGTAGTCATTTTTCATTAGATGAATTGTAGTTACTGCGGCAGATAATTATTTCTTCGGTAAAAAAAAGATTCATATGAACGCAATTTCAGCACTGAAAAGGAACGCTGGCAAAGAGATGAACCTAGAGGATCCTACCACAGCAAGCACCACCGACCTTTCAGCTTCAATAACAGAGGTAAAAGAGATATAATCGAGTTTTGTATGGAGAGAGTCCCAGTACTCACAATAGTAAAGAATTCTTCTGTTGAAAATGAGCTTATATAAGGACACGTTCATTTGAGTTTGAGGATATTGGTAAATATAAGTGACCCTATTAAAAGGCACAGTGTAGTTGACTTTGTCACACTATGAAATTACTTAAACCCTTGATGGTTAGGATAATCGTTTCATCCTCTAGGCTAACTTTGTCACATAACGATATCTTAATCAGGTGATAAGATATCGCTTAAATACGGCCGGCACGGAAATGGTTACATTGTCACACTATAAACATGTGACGGAGTAAATATGGACCCCTTGCTGCCGTTTTTGACCAAATTTTTGAGTGTCCAGTTGATTGGATGGGTACATATGACCATTACCTACATATTTGACGACTTTTTTCGTTAGATGGTGCATTCAGGTTTACTCTGTCACACATTAAAGAAAATATGTGATGAATGTTTAGGGCACCCTGATAAGCAATGCTGAGTAGTGTAAGTTTATTTGATGGCCTGGAAGTGCTGGGAATTGTTATTATATCATATAGTCGTAAGGAATTAAAACACAGAGGCACAACCAAGCTTACTTTGTCACATAATCTTGATAATATCTGAACATGTGTGAAATTGAACAAATAATGATATACCAGCTTAAACCCCTTATATTATACGTACTATGGATCAAACAACACTGCTAGTACCATGCACCAGTCACATAAATCATTATCAGGTGGTAATATGTTAACAGTGTCACAATTAAACTACCGCTACATGGTCAAAAATAGGGTAATTTCGTCACAAAAAATTATTATAACTCTGTTAGCTCCTTGCTGGCAAAATAACTAGTTTATCGAAATTTTTTGATGATAAAGTTACATAGTATTCTAATAGAGGTATAGTTCTTCAAAATAGGGGCAAGACATGTTTACTTTGTCACATCAGTTATTATAAGAGTTAGGTAATCGTCATCAGATCAAAAGATATTTTTCGTAGTTTGGATCGATTAATACTTTAATATACCTGTAATAAATCATATGCCAATTTTAACACACTATCTTGATACTGTTGGGGCAGGGAAAGTTAATTTTGTCACATTTTCAATGTCTTTGACAAATAAATCTAAATTTTAAAAATTGAGTTCTTATGTTCTGGACAATATTCTTCCAATCGTTTCTGAAAGAATGTTGAATTGTAATAGAGTTATAGATCTTCAAAATAGGGGCAAGACATTGAACCTATTGAACCTATTGATAGGTTTAGAAGTAGGCATCTTCACGGCCATCACGCAATCTGCGGACCACCTCCTTGACTGCACCAGTCTATTATCGAGTTAGAGTTTTCTGCACTGTATCCAGGAGTAGGGGGCTTGTCTGGAAGGGTGTCTAGGAAGTTTCCAAGAGATGTCTTGAAGCTTGTCAAAGTCCTTTGAGTATTGACAATTTTGGGGAGAACATTCCAGAGTCTTCCAGCTCTCACTGCGAATGAGTGGTCGTAGGTGGAGCGTGCAGCAGCTGATGCTTTTTTTGTGAGAGAAGGGAGTATAACTTTAACTCCCAGTCTGGCATTCTCTCTGAACTGTACATCTAGGTCATTTGGACATATACCCTGGAGAACTTTCCACAGATGTATGATGGTGTAGCGTTCTCGGCGTCTTTGCAGTGATGCAAGTTTCAGTTCCTTCAGTCTATTCCAATAATCGGTGTCTCTCAGCCCTAGAATTCGTCTAGTGAACTGGCGTTGTATGCTCTCGATAGACTGGATATCAAAGATCTTGTTTGGATTCCAAAGCGGGCAGCAGTACTCCACTCTGGACCTTATCAGGGATTTGTAGAGCTGGAGCATAACAGGTGTTGTCCTGTCTTTGAATACTCCAAGAACCCAAGATGCCATCTGACGTGCCTTGTCAACCATGATGTTGATATGTGGTGTCCAGGAGTAATCATCGGACATGTTGACTCCTAGGTCACGCACTAATGTACTTCTTTCTATGACTGATCCATTTGGAGTGGTGTAGTTTGTGATGTCACTCATAAATGGCAGCTCCTCTGAAAGTGATTTAGAGGCCGGTGTTCTATAGCAAACAAGTTCAAACTTGTTTTCGTGCAGTTTCATGTTGTTGTCCTCGGACCAACGTATGATTCTGTTTAGATCTTCTTGAAGAAGATTGCAGTCGTTTAACGTCGATATTTTTCTGCCTATTCGGGTGTCATCGGCAAAGCTGCTAAGTTTGGAATCTTTCACGTACTGATCTAGATCGTTGACGTAAAGAAGAAAGAGGATTGGACCAAGTACAGTCCCCTGCGGTACTCCACTGATAACCGGCATTGACCTAGAATGCTTTCCGTCGACAATGACCGTTTGAGTCCTATCAAGGAGGAATTGCTCAATCCATTTGTACAGATTACCTTGTATTCCATACGACTTAACCTTTTTAAGAAGTAGGGAATGATCCACCTTGTCGAAGGCTTTAGCATAATCAAGGTATATCACGTCTGTTTCGGAGCTGTCTAGGTAGTTGTTTAGGATGTAGTCCATGTGTTGTAATAACTGTGTAAGACAGCTTCTACCTTTCCGGAAGCCGTGTTGCTTCTTAGAGAATATGTGATTCGACTCCAAGTGCTCTACCATGTTCTTTCTTAGTACTCTCTCAAACACTTTTATCATATGGGAAGTTAACGAGACAGGTCTATAATTTCCCGGGTCTGTTTTGTTTCCTTTTTTAAACACTGGTGTGATATATTGTTCCTTATAGACTGAAGGAACTTGACCATTTCTGAAGGAGTTCTCCCAAATGATCATCAGGGCTTCTGAAAGCGGTTGTTTGCAAGCTTTCAGTATCCTTGCTGGAATGTCCCCATTAGATGTTGCCGAGTCAGCATCAATTTCATCAATAGCTGTGATGAGGTCCTCTTTACTAAAGTTGAATGATGTTAACTTTTCTGAGGGCGATGTTATATTGCTGGTTGTGTCTTTTTTCTTCTCGTTGTCAGGGTCACTAAACACTGAAGAATATTGGTCTTGAAGGATTTCCGCCATTTTCTTAGCATCATGTTGTAGTGTTCCTGTGGAGCTGCTTCTTAGCGGACCGATATTTGATTTCAGCTTAGAAAATCTTTTTGCATAGCTGAAGAAATATTTCGGGTTTTTCTTAACGCATTGTACAGCTTTGCGCTCTCTTCCGTTAATCTCCATACTTATGTTTTGTTGAATTTCATAAGCCATCAGATTTACTTTATGTTCTAGGGTAGGTAAGGAGAGGGAGTCCGGGTTTAATATCTTAAGACATCTGATGCGTGCCTTGAGTTTTCTCTTTTTTCTGTATAATATCCTTCTGGGTCGGCTTCTGGGTCGGCGACATGTTTACTTTGTCACATCAGTTATTATAAGAGTTAGGTAATCGTCATCACATTAACATATAATTTTTGTAGTTTGGATCTTGATTTATATAGGTAATAAAGCAGCCTATGCTAATTTTTACACACTATCTTGAAATTGTTGGGGCATGAAAAGTTAATTTTGTCACATTTTTAGTGACTTTGACAAATTTAACCTAAAATTGTTAAACTTAAGCTCTGATGTTCTGGACAATATTCTAATAGAGGTATAGAATATAGATCTTCAAAATAGGGGCAAGACATGTTTACTTTGTCACATCAGTTATTATAAGAGTTATTATAAGAGACTATTTCATTCTATAATGATTGTTTTTAATCTATTTACGATTTCGTATGATTTTTTGTGACAATGTAAACATCAACTGATCTTAACTTGCATCAACTACATTGTTATCATATAAAATTTTCCCGCCTTTCAAACCAAAATCAGATATAAATTATTCGCCCAAAATTTTAAATTTCATATATTGTGACAGAATTAACCTCATTTCCCAATAACCAAGTGCCTGTATTAGCTAACTATTCAAAACAACATATTTTAGGGCTATGCTTGGTAGAGCAACCATAAAATAATGAGTTGAAAGGGTTTTAAGGACACCTCACAGTAGAATAGAGGTATGGTATCATGAGTGTGACAAAGTTACCCAAATATTGCCTTGTAACCGTTCGATCCGTACCCATTAACCAATGTTGTATCATAATTGTTAGATTGACCTAATTTACTATATTTCAGACCAAGGAATGATAATTAGACAACTGCAGTTAACTCAGTCACACAAAATGTGACATTTGAAACATTATAGTGCCTAACAACAATAGATTTTCTTTCTGAGCGGTGCATATGGGAGTATGGGTTACGTGGCTAATGTTCAGAACTTCTGAACGTGCTAGGTTAATAGATGTCAAAATTAAGCCACTATCGTCAAAAACGCTATTATTTTTGTTTACCAATATCCTCAAACTCAAATGAACGTGTCCATAAATCATTGATTCTTTATTGATGTGTCCTATTGAGATTGATGGTTTTAACCTAGGGTTGTATCAATCGAGTAAATTTAATCTTTTGAACATTGTATTTTCAGATAGACTGTAGTGTTCCCACAGTAGAGAGCGGAGAAGTGAAAGAAGTGTCAGTAGAAGTAGTACAGCCAGGCCAGGTTGATGCAGTCGTGCTTGAAGTTGGTGATCCTGAACCTGCTGGTGAGAAGAAGGCAACTCTGATGACTAAATCACAATCGAGTGAGTTTTATTTTCTTACAGTCGTTCTTCTAAAACAGGTTGTTTGATTGATTTTTAGGTTTAAGAGGGAAACAATGATTTTTGTTAGGGCACATTAATGCATGTTGTCTGTCGGAATGCTGTAAGCCTAAATGAATTTCAGCGGAGCAACTTATAGATAACGATGAACTAGCGGGAATCGCTGATGACGGTGGGTTTTATAACTAGCAAGCATTTCCAGCAATTTCCGCTTATGCAGAATGCTATTGTTCAAATAAAAAATTATCCGTTTTGTTGCATGGCCATATTGCATGTGCAGCACTAATCGATTATATGTTTTCCTTTAGAATTAGACAGAGGTATACCCATGGTTGTTATCCGCAACCCTAATTCTAACGCTCCTCAACCCTCTGCCGGTAAGATTCTTATGGTAGGGGTACTCTTCATATTTTCTGCTGATTTGGAATTTTGAGATGACGCCTCCTTTTTGCCGTTCTTGATTGTCATTTAAATCATTTATTTTCGATGTTGTCAATCACTGTTGATACCATAATAAATAAGATATCGTTTCCTATCCAAGTATTTATTTTCGAATGTTCAATGTTCATGTTAAATTGTATGTTTCATGATTCAAAGTTGAACTTCCTTATCTGTGGACGTTGTGGACGTTGGAGTGCCCTAAACTCTCTCTCGAGGGATATCATAAGGAAATAAGAGATTAGCTTTTATCTCGACACTATAAATAACAGTACCGTGACACGGCAACTATACAACTGTATACAACTCACAACTGTATACAACTGTATACCTTAGCAGTTGCCAGGGGCTGGGTGGATCGTAGGAGCCCAAAATTGTAAAGTCAATCAAGCGATTGTATACCTTCTGGCATCTACTTGTCCTTGAGGCTTGAACGGATTAGTTTAAATGACATTCATAGAAGCTATGTATTCTGTGAGGATATATCAGTAATTTTGGGTCCATCCTAGTGAAAGATATAAGCCTCTTGCTAAGCTGCATCACCGAGATCAGGTGGGTAAAACATCTTCCAATCTTCCAGCTGCTATATTTTTTCAACCTACATTTTTTATACATCCTTTTACAGTCGATAATGTTTCAGTCGAGAAGTTTAAGTCGTAATATAATATGACGAAAATATGTATAGAATTCGCTTTATTACTCTTGCTGCTGTAAATTTATAGAACTTTTGTTGACGATCCTAATACTAATCACTTCTTTTCATATTACTTTTTAAAATCTTTCCATATATTACAACATTATTTTGCTACTGCTTAAACGATCATTTGATCCTATTGTCCAGCTACCTCTGCAGCTACTTCTGCTACTTCTATTCATACTAATTTTTAAAATCTTTCCGTCTTACTTCTTCATTTCGCTATTGCTAAAACTATCATTTGACCAGCTATTGCCCTGCTACTTCTTCAGCTACTTCAGCTACTTTTACTACTCCTGCATCGAATGGCTATTAGCTTTGTCGCCAGAATTTATCCGTGTTCACTTCCACTGGTCGAGGTGACTTGCAGTATTATCAAACAAATTACAGCAAGAATAAAAGGTACTGATCACAATTTGCAAGCTTCAAAACATGATTCGCAGCAGAGCCCTTTTTGAAGTAGTATTCAACTTCCATCCGGATTGCATGGCTCTATCGCTTCTTCAGCAGACCCACTCATACCAGCTCATGAGATTAGTGTGTACTCTGTTCAGGAACAAGAATACCTTTAAACAAGAAATGTACAGAGTACGGCAGTACGATCAGTGCTGGTGACGATCAACTGACGAGTGAGCTATAAAATCCATAAATATAAATATCATGTATTCCTTCCGTATATGCAACAAGAATTGTTGGAACTTTATCCCATAATCTCATTTATACGTCGTAACAGACTTCTTAGTTCTTTAGCAAAATTAAAATGTTTTGAAAATAATTGTGAAAATGAGTTCCACAATATGAAGCACAACACTTATTCGTACGATAAAAAGAGAGCAATCGAAAGATTGGTTATTGGTGCCCACCATGTCCTTCCAAAATCTCCTTATTCTACTCCTAATTCTTAGAGTCCTACCTTGACTTCACAGTTCACAACTATATAATGTTATAATATTTACTGCAATTGTCTAACATTTAACTCCTTAATACTGCTTTATTTTTTGCAACTATCTAGTATTTATGAACACAATCTCTTGACTAAAATAAGAAAGCATCTTTTTGCATCCTTAAATTGGTCTACGAATATATTTTATCTTATTTTTCTAAGACAGCAAATATTTATAAATCTAATAAATCAGCAAATCTTTATAAATTTTCTCCCAGACAAGACACCTGTAGAAACACCAGCTGTTAAACCAGCTGAAGAGGCTTCAAAACCGACCACAAGAAAAGAAATACGTCAACAAAACAAGGTGACCATTTTATAACTACATAATCGCCGCTCATGAAGTATTCAGTGATCTGTAATCCTTCACTAGGTTCACAGATTGTCGTCAGATTGATAATCCTTATGATTTTACTTGAGCATTACAATCTACAATGCTTCAGGAGGAAGAAACGAAAGCAGCTAATCCGGACGATGTTTTAGTATCGGACTGGTGGAGTAAGTACTACGAGTGTGTCGGAAATGATCCTAGACTGAAGAGAATATTCAAAGAACGGGACCTTCCCAGAATTAAGGTTTATACCTCAGCTACTGTTCTTTAAGTCAACTATTCATTATGTTAAAGTGTTAACCATGAAGCACGATATTTTTGGATTCAATTTGTATGACTTAATCATTGGCATAGTTTTACAATCTTACAATCATATTTGTAATTTGTGACTATCTGGTTTAAATTTTACAGTTTATGTTATGTATTACTATGTAGTATGTACTGGTAGGTCATCACTATAACGTTCAAACTCACCCAGTTATACGAGAAAGAACTCGAGAAGGTATTTAACTTTAATGATGTGATGCAGAACATCCCTATTGTAAAGCCAGATAACGATATATCTGACGATGACAGTAGTAGTGACGAGGAAGATGAGGACAAAGAGTCAAGACATAGAGTCGGATTTTTCAAGGTGAGCTTCCTCCCTTTTTTAAAGAGATTGTCATTAACTTTTTAACCTCAAATGTAACATGTTACATTTCTGTTTTACAAATTATTACCTATTGTAAACTTGTTTGTGTCTAACCAAAATCTCAACTCTGTGCAGGGATCTCTCAAGATTTACGAGATCACTGAAGAAATGTACAAAAGTGTCCAAGTTGAGAAGAAACCTCCGAAGCTCCTCTTCTCAAACCTTCCCTCAAATCAGTCGATGGATGTTTTGATCAGAGTTTATGTAGCTGCTGCAGTGGGTCTAACACCTCTAGACTTCGGAGGTAGTGTTGATCCTTATCTCTTGGTTAAGTGTGGCAAAACTACCATCAGTGATAAAGACAAATATCTTACTAAAGATGTTAACCCTATCTTCGGAAGGTAGCTAATAGCTTCAGAGCATATATTAATCGTATCACGATTTGCAACTATTTTTATAGAGCTATTTTTTTTAATGTTTGAAGAGAGGTTGGGCCAAGATAGCCCACGATAGGATAGCATTGAGATGCTCTGCTTACCTCTGGGGTGTGGCAACCCTGGGGAAGGTTGCCGGTGAAATCAGAGTGAATGGTGGAGGATGGTGTAAAAAGTGACACGAGTCAAGATGATACGCTTAAGTGCCAGCTGGGTTTGGAAAAGTAAAATGAGACGATACAGCTTATGAGTTAATACTCTAAGTCACCCCGGTCTGATCCTGCTCTTTCGGCACAATTAAGCGTTTGGTGCGGTTTGTGAAATTTACAATCGTGGAACTATGTTTATGGTTCTGATTTAAATTCATGAAATCATGATTTGAAACTTTAGATGCTAAATCTCTTTATTTCCACAGAATGTTCCAGATCCGAGCGAAGCTGCCTCGGGACAGCAAGTTGTCAATCAAAGTATACGATCATGACCTGATCGGAGCTAACGACTTGATAGGATCCACAACAGTTGATGTTGAGGACAGGTACATGTCCTGGAGACGTGCCTCTTGTGGTGTTTCTCAGCAGTACATCAAGTGAGTTGATGTTGTCATTGGTTCGTGCGAGACGTGGAGATAAATCATGTGACCGGTGACCCCGAACCATTTCACAAGGTCCATACTTAGTATGCTTCAGACATCACTAGTATACTGAAGATATTGTCAATGTCTTGTTAGTAAACTTATTACTTGCAGAACACGAACTAGCAAGGATCGATGGAGGGACAATTTAAAACCAGTGGACCTCTTGAAGCGTATGTGTCTACTCAAGGGATGGACATCTCCGCAGTTTAGGAGAGATTCTAACGGTCTTAAAGTTATTGTTGGAGGAGAAACTTACCAATTAGGTAAGCTTACAATCTCATTGAATTGGTCTCACGACCACAGTTCCATTCTCTTAAATATGGTATTCTCGACAACAATAACCAGAACAATGTCTGATAACTACGAAAACACAAATTCGTACCTTTCTATAGATGTTTATATTTTAATTTCCTCTCAGAGAAGAAGAAATTAGGTCCAATGAAGCTGAACGGAACGAGCGAAGCTGCTGAACCTGCACCCGTAAAATTACCAGCCTCGGAGAGAAACGAACTAGCAATCCAAGTCCTGCACCAGAGTGGCGTCACCCCTGAACATATTGAGACTAGAACTTTGTACAATGACGACTGTCCTGGTATTCCTCAGGTATTATAATTAAAATAAGGTATTTGAAATGGAACATTGGTTTTACTGAGTGCACAGTAGCAGAGTATTGGACAACCCTTGGTTGTACTGCGCTACTAGCACATGAACTCCGCCCAATCCACTATCAATATGGGAATACGTGCTTCTATTTCTATGTTTGGAAAATAGATGGGTTATAATTTAATTGTTGACGGTTCATGGCTATAATAAACTATGTTCTACTTTCTCGCAGGGCAAGCTTCACATGTGGATTGATCTCTTCCCTTACAATGAAAGCATTCCAGCTCCTATTGCTATAAATCCCAGAGAGCCTCAGAAGTAAGACACTAAACTGTGACTTGTACTAGCTGCACTAGTATTTGAGTATCTGAGCTGCAAATATGTGTTTCTTTATAAAGGAAAAACTACCTAGCAATAGCATTCGAATTACATTTCGTATTATTATTATGCAGGATTCTGATATTTTCTGAAAATGTGTGTTTCATAAAAATATTTTACTAAGTAAGAAAACTTTAGGTATATTCTTCGCTGTATCATCTACAATACTGAAGATGTCATACTGGATGAGACGAACATATTGGGAGAATCAATGTCAGACATCTACGTTAGAACGTATGTTAAGCTATTGAAATGTCAATTTCTGATTATTTAGGAGGACACTTACTAGCAATGCAACCGTTATTTGCCAATTTCTGTCGATACAGTACCTTGGAGTTTCAAACAAAAGCTCTAGAGCACATGCGTTCACAATGACGCGCGTGGATATTTCTAAACATGCATTTTTAACCTTTTAAACTTGCTGATATGACACGAATGTGAAAATGCTACAGATATCTAGAAGGAAAGAAGAAGGACAAACAAGAGACAGATACCCACTACAGATCACTAACCGGCGAGGGTAACTTCAACTGGAGAATGGTCTATCCACTGGACTTTATCATACAGGAGAATAAGATGATCCAGAAGAAAAAGGTAAATATACTGCGCCATTTATCAAATTACAGTGGGTACGGGTATTGTCACCCATAATTTATTATATTATGGAATAATAACATTATTATTAGGAAACATGTAGCTTTAACTGTTTTCTCTGTGGGATGTATCATGTAGAGTGTACTAATTATGTCCAACACTACTCTTTACAACCGTGGCTGAGGCGCTTTATTTTAATTTTTTAATATGATGATTACCGCATTTCATGAAGAAAATATCCCATTTCAAAATTGATTTATTTTCAAAATGATTTATACACTGACGAACACAAAACAGCGATTAAAGCCACAAATAAACACCAGTATTCATAATAATCCGCACTGTTAAATAGAACAAGCTCCGGAACAGGGGTTCATCCTGACACCAATACACTCGCTGTTCTGATTGCAACTCTGATACTTCTCCCCGACACCAGTCAACCAACACCACTCTTTACACCCGTGACACCCTGTACTTTCTCTTCTGGGACACGCTCCTGAGTTGTGTAGCTACATTATTGATATGATCATAGTATCAATCATTTGATTCAAACATTATCGGTTAAACTATCTAACTATAGAGGAGGGAAAGAAATACACTTATAAATCTGGTTAAAATCTGTGTAAACTGCCAGATAACCTAACTCCGACTACCACAGTGTTTAAACAAGAAGTAGATAATCTAAAAAGATAATATAATATCACCATCGCACTGAGACCAGCAGTATTTATAGCTAGAATGTTCAAAGTGACACCCAAAGGAGCACCTCGAGTCTCTGTCACAGATGTGCTCCCTACCCCACGCACACTTTTCAGCTTCTGAGATAGAAATGACCTACGGTCACATGACCAAATACTGTTTGTGTGATTGGTTAATTTAGTGAGTTCTTAAATTAAGCCGATGTTTTGGAATCATAAAGTTTCAAAGGGTCCCCAGGGTAACATATTATACTGCACTTACCTTCACCATGAAAAACAAAATCCTCCAAGTTCAAGTTGGGGGGCGTATACGACAAAACAGTGACACTCCGTGCAATGAGGGGACTAGAATTAAGGATTGTTGAGATGTCGTATTGTAGCTGTCCGGGTACTACACTGAGTGTACTGACCAGTCTGCCGGAGTCTGGGTACGACCCACTGTCGAGATACACCTGGAGAAACACAACTTGTTAAGATATACCTGGAGAAACACAATTTGTTAAGATACACCTGGAAAAACACAACTTGTCAAGATACACCTGGAGAAACACAACTTGTTAAGTGAGGAGGAACCCACTGTCAAGATACACCTGGAGAAACACAACTTGTTAAGATACACCTGGAGAAACACCACTTGTTAAGTGAGGAGGACCCACTGTCAAGATACACCTGGAGAAACACAACTTGTTAAGTGAGGAGGACCCACTGTCAAGATACACCTGGAGAAACACAACTTGTTAAGTGAGGAGGACCCACTGTCAAGATACACCTGGAGAAACACAACTTGTTAAGTGAGGAGGAACCCACTGTCAAGATACACCTGGAGAAACACAATTTGAGGAGGAAATGTTAAATTGTGAATTGGTTAAAGTAGCTGACATTGTATCAGACTTGATAAAGATTGGTCGCGCTAGTAAAAATGATCCCTCTTCATGTGTACTGTATATACCTCCACTCCTTGGAGATATTGTTCGTTAGCCGCATCCGTTTTAATTGAGATCTTGTTTATCTCGTACTGAGTTGGGAATTTCAGCGTATACCACATCTTATTACCCCCAACTGACACAGACTGAGTGTACGGAATCCCTGAGGCTGTCAGATATTTCGAGTAAGAGAAGGGAAAAGAAGAGAACCAGAACTTCTCATCCCCAGTTTTGTTTAAAAGCTTCGTAATTTAATTGGCTGAACCAATAAGATGAGTGTTAAAAAATGATATGGCACTGGCCAGTGGCTTGATTCTGTATGAGTCACGGTGATCACACATGGAACATATATCAAGTAGGATTTGTAGTGTCTACCCCTGACAAAACAAGTGAGCATACCTGCAGCCATATAGAATCCTCCTAGTAGGATCATCAGAACTGGAACAAATTTAAACATCATGACGAGATTGAGAGTACGTGGTTTCTGAACTTCCCTCAGTTGAAGTTCACATAAGCAGTCGTAAATAGTCGTCCTAACTATGTTTAGTGAAGTGAGATTAGCACCTTTTAACAACATTTGGTGCCCCAGAACTTCAGGAGCTAATCTGTTTAGGGCAGTGGTGCTAAACTATGGGTACTAATTCACAGCTTATGTTAATGTACACTGTGCATCTATCATATTCATTATACTTTTACAGGGTAAATTCTGGCATATTGAGAAGACTGTTATGAAAGTTGATCCAATCCTGCATCTGGAAGTCTTCGATAAGGATGTTCTCAGTAGAGACGACAAATTAGGTAATTGTGATAATATTTTGATGATAAAAGGAAAATAAAATATTGTTTACCCCTTATCCTTTATCCCGGCTTGCACAGTTGTCATTATATACACTGAAATATTCACCTAAAAGGTATTCCTATGCTATAAATGCTATAAAAATGCTATAAATTATCACACCGCATCACGAATTTAATTATCGATTCTCAGGATGGGCTCAGATTGATTTGACGAGAATTCCTGCCCCCACTAAAACCGCTAAAGAGTGCTCTCTTGACGTGTATGAAAACGAAAAGGCGCACCCTCGAATGTCCCTGTTCGAGAAGAAGAAAATCCAAGGGTTCTGGCCTGTTTATGACGATTCTTTGGGAACCAGAGAACTAACTGTGAGTGGGAGATCTATCTAGCTCTAGATATCAAAATCTGAATAAACACAAAATTATTTCCATAAAACTGTATATATAGCGTTTATCAGTTATTTTTTAAATGAAGCTAAACTTAATTCCAGGGTAAAGTAGAGATGGAATTAGAGATACTAACAGAGGAAGAGGTAGCCGAGAGACCTGCAGGAAAGGCGAGGGATGATCCAAACTCCAACCCCACACTCGAACCACCCAAGTAAGAAACTGTTGCAACTATGTAAATATTAGAATTTAGACAAAGGATTCGCTGATATTTTTATTGGCTCTTCTCAGCCCCAGAATGGAGTATTAAGGTGAGTGGTGACACGCACTGTAGCCAGGCAACCACTGATCAGTGTGAATATGATACCAAATCGTTGCATTGAAAACCGTTAATGAATTGTTCGTGATAAATGTTTGCCGGTAACCTAACTGAACTTTCCTTCAGCCGCCCAGAGACTTCTTTCAACTGGTTCACAAACCCGTGGAAAGTGTTCAAAATCCTGATTTGGGGACGATTCAAGTGGCATATTATCATCGGCTTGCTAATTATTCTTCTCGTCCTATTTGTCGTCCTAATGGCTTACACTGCACCGGTTAGTCATATTTTCTGCTTTACTTTTTATTCGAGATTTTTATTATCCACTGGTCGTGATTATTCGACTACTAGTTATTTTTAAATACTCACTTGATTACAATTTCAGGAGGCAATAAACAACGCAATTTACGGAAGATAAGCTCCGTGGACTCATATTAAAATGTAGTTTTTATCGTGTTAATTCCTATTTTATTCTGACTTTAAATTTGGATTTATAGTTTTGTTAAACACTCAATATGATATTTTGGTAAAGCATGTTTATAGTAGTCTTAATGTTTAGATATAAATGTAACATATGATTTTTAATATGTATTTCATTAATTATTATTATGGAAGTTAAGTTTTGTGAAAGTGAAGTTTTGTAGATAACTAGTTTTGTATATCCTTTGCAATGATTTTAAATTTTTATTAGTCAAATCAAAGATGGGTTTGAATTCAACTGCAATTTTTGTTAAATATTCAACTATTTAGATACCATTTAATCATTTTGTGGCTGGTTTCCATTTTCCAATTAGGTTTTACTTTAAAATAATTGAAGTACAGTTTTAACTACCAACTATGTGCGTTGCTTTTAAAACAAATTTTGTTACATTCGACCTTGTTAATAATTATATTCAATGATACTATATAGAAAATTTGAGGTTGGATTCTTTAAACAAACACGTTTTTTTGTATTCTTATGGAGTAATAAAAAAATTCAAGTTATGGTGAAATCTATTTTTAAATTTCAATGGATAAAACTTTAAAATAGTTTGTTGACTAAACTCCAACGAGTGGTATATTCCATTCTTTATCATTATTTCAGTTTTTATTGGTGTTTTTGTGCTAATATTTCATTATCATAGTCATGGTTTACACTGCTGAAAATGTAACGAAGGTATCGTCACACGACATTTTGCCGGAGCAAAAATGTTTGTTTACACTTTTAGCCCCACGATGGATAGTTTTGAACTATATACGGTGATAAATTAAAGAACATAGAGGTAATCATAAACATATTTCAAAGTCTTATTATCAGAAATATTTTTTTATGTATATTAATTTGACCAAAACCCATAATTGGGTAGATAAGAGTGGACCGCTTTCAATGTCTCTCTTTCCCAAACAAAAGGAAATGATATCAATTTGAATGACCGTCTGCAAATGCATAATGATACCGAGAATGAAATCGGTCGCTCCCATTTCCCATTCATTATATGGGTGGTTTTTTATAACGGCTTACGAATTGTAAAACGTTTCGATTAATTACATCAATCACATTTTGTAAAAATCTCTTTGAGATGCTTTCGGGTCGATACCTAGTATTTCGGGATAAGGGCGGTATCAAGGCCAATTAAAGGAAATCGCGGCTCGTGCGGATTTGGAACAATGATAACATTGGAGCATTAACTGTAAAAAGTCAATAGAATAATGATTGATTAACTGTAAAAAGTCGATAGAATGATAATTCTCTATATTATCTCTATATAGCAATAACACACATTTAAGCTCACGCAACTTATTCTTAGGTAAACTCAGCTACGAGAAGGTGAAGGAGCAGGAAAGAGTCATAATAATGACAATCAAACTACCTCAAAGCCATCGTTAACCTTTAGTTTTACTAGAGAAGAATATATCTCTTAAAATTAAGCGTAAGTTTTTTTCAAAGTAAAAAATACTATAAATCTTGAAATATAACTATGCTGTAAACCCCCCCCCCTCCCCCTATGTTGTATCAAAAAATGGGAGACATGGGTTACACTAGAGGGTATTTGGCGGGGTTAGATGAAGAGGTGTTGGAAGAGGTGATTTTATAATCTAAACAACAAATTATATTTCACTCGCTTTCATTGTGTTGAGTTTTATCTTGAATTTTAATATCTTTAAAATTAATTTAACTTAAATAAAAATACTGTTTGATAATATGTAGGGAATTGAGAAGTTAACTTAACACAGCACTTTATTACAGGTACAAAAAAACCAAGTATAGAGAGGTACAATGTATAAGGATGTGGCGATAAGATTGATAAAATTTTACCAAGAAGAGGGTGAGGATGGAGGTAAACAATGCCTCATTCCATACACCTCTGCGGTGGAGAAAAAAGGGGATAAAAACCCTGGTAGCACCCACCCCTCGGCCTTATTAAACTCTATGGTTCTGAAAACTGGGGGTAAATATCATTAGATAATGAAACGTTTAAGAATATAATTTTGCAAGCATACAAGTGCCGACAACTTTCACAATTAATATAGCAATAACACAAATTTAAGCTCACACAAGTTATTCCTAGGGAAGCTCAGCTACGAGAAGGTAAAGGACAAGGAGAGGGTTTTGATAATGAGCATAGAGATACCTCAAAAACCAACCCTAACATTTACTAGAGAGCAATATATCTCTATCAAAGAGGCTAAGCTGAGTGTAAGTTTTTTCAAAGTAAAACAAAAACTATAAATCTTGAAATATAACTATGTTGTAAACTCCCCCACCCCCTCCCCCTCCTTATTTTGTAAAGTGTAAACCCATCCCTTCTCTATTTACTATAATGTTATTCTATTTAACAGATGTCACAGGAGGCATTGGAGATTGTGACAACTCTAAATAACAGTATTCCGATGGTGAGGAGAGTGGTTACAAGTGATGTACTGAACATAAAAGATGACTCACCGTTCACACTTATAACGGAAAATCTTAGCTGGCCAATCCTAGGTTTGTACATTTGTTTCAAAACGTTGGCTCTACTTCTATACGTTAAAAGCTTGTGTTGTCATTTTACGTATATTATATTATAATAATATATTAATGGTAGAGCTGTACATTAAAATCATCAAGCTGTTAAAGTTAATATTGCGTTTAACATTTATTTATCATTTCAGAATTCACAGAGTGATTTTATCAACGCTTGTGAAAATAGTCGCGTCCTCGCTGTGTTATCAACGGTTTGTTTCTTTTCTAAGTAAAGTTTTCATTCAAATTGTTTAGCTGAAACACTACAGTCACTGTTAGAAAGATATTGTGATTTATTAACCCAAATATTCTATTCAGTAAACGGAGGTTGGACTTCATACGGCTCATGGTCTTCTTGCTCAAAGACTTGCGGATCGGGAACACAAACAAGAAGCAGAACTTGTACAAAATACAAATCCTTCTCCTGCACACGGAGGTGCTAGTTGTTCGGGAACATCTTCGGAGTCTCAGAGTTGCAACACCCAAAGCTGTCCAGGTAATTCAATCAGGTTTTATTTGTTTTAACGAGATCGGGTCTGTTAATAAAACAGTAGCTCTGTTAAATGTTTTATTGATCATATCCTCATTTTAAAAAAACATAAGCGCTGAAATCGGGTCTGTTAATAAAATAACAAAAATTATAATGGGTAAAACACAATGCATAAATTACTACGACAGTTATCATGGATTAATTTAGATGTTCTGATGCGGTTTCTCAGGACTTGGTGGGTATTTATAACTGCCCATAAATGATGCTCTGCTGTTTTAACTTTATCAAATAACGGAGTAGTTCGCTGTTTATTAGTCTCATGATTGAAATACTGATATCTGGATATTATCCGGTTGGAAGAGACAAGGACAAGTGAAACAAGGAAGTTAGGAGTAAGGGCAAATTTTCGGCGTCAACGCCATCTTCAGGCTAAAATTGTTATAAATGTTAGTATATAATAAATGCTTCTATACTAGTTAAAATGCTAAATTAAAATTACACACACTGAATACAGGTTACATCAAATGGTATTGTACATTACATTGAAAATAGTGATGTACACACGTTTTACACTCTGTCCAAGTACATAATATCTACTGAACAGCAGGGTCGTGTGCTATTTGTTTAAATTTGTCTTTGAATATGTTGTAAAAGAAATCCCTTAAGCTTCTCGCACTCTTCTTTGTTATTGATACTAGGTTTAAATAAATTAATGTAGTAAGCTTCTGTCACTTTACGTTTAATGGTGCTATATAAGTTAATTTCTAAAATATCGAAGGAAATATCTGGTTCTATGTTATCGTGAAACTCTGAATAATGAGCAGCCAACGCATTATCAGGATAGGTTAAAGGCCTGTTGACTGCTCTTCGATGCTCTGAAAATCTATCGTGTGCTGTTCTACTCGTTTCCCCTATATATAGCTCTTGACATAATTTACACGTAACTTTGTATATGACACATTTTGGTTTGCAGTCGTGATTTGTTGTGATGAGTGGACATATGATACAGTTTGGTATGGTGCAGTGTGGTTTGTCGTGTGGTCGTGATGAACATAAGATCTCTGAGAGTTTCTTACCTGGTGTGAATATGAATTTGACCGGTAAGTTGTGTGAGAGGGCAAATTGAGTGACTTCTTTGGAAAATGGCTCGTTGATGAATGGTAGAGTGCATGTTACGTGGTCGGTATCTTGTATGTTTGATGATGAAGGGTTATGACGTGTTGTAGGTGAGAGAGGGTGAAGTCGTCCTGTTTTGTTTATACGTCGTGGGTCTTGGTAACCGTTGTTGACCAACAAGTTGTCTACTATCTTCATGGACTCTTCTTTATACTCTGGTGTTGATGAGCAAAAAGCAGCCGTTTTGTAGAAGTTCTTGATGGTTGCTACTTTAGTTCCCTCATTGTGGTGGCTGTTGGCGTGCAGTGTGATATTCTTTTTCTGCTTCTTTCTGTAGAATTTGTGGTGTAGTGTTCCCTGTTCGTCGATCTTTATCTGGGTGTCGAGGAATGGGGTGAAATCCTGACGGCTTTCCGGATAGTCAATTTCCCATTTGAGCAACTGGTCTGGGTCCTCGTTTGAGATGGACTCCACTATCCTCAGAGCTTCTTCTTTGGAGCTGGCTAGACTCCCGGCATCATCCACGTATCTCCGGTAGAATGAGACGTGTAAATCAGTGTAAATCGATCTTCTCTCGAACATATATACTCGTACTATCGCTCCTATTGGTGATGGTTGGCACCCCATGAAGAGACCAATTTTCTGGAGGTATAGTCTTGAGTGATATGTAAAGTATGAGTTGGTGAAGACGAATTCAAGGATCTTGTGGATGTCAAGATCCTTGAATTCGTCTTCACCAACTCATACTTTACATATCACTCAAGACTCTACCTCCAGAAAATTGGTCTCTTCATGGGGTGCCAACCATCACCAATAGGAGCGATAGTACGAGTATATATGTTCGAGAGAAGATCGATTTACACTGATTTACACGTCTCATTCTACCGGAGATACGTGGATGATGCCGGGAGTCTAGCCAGCTCCAAAGAAGAAGCTCTGAGGATAGTGGAGTCCATCTCAAACGAGGACCCAGACCAGTTGCTCAAATGGGAAATTGACTATCCGGAAAGCCGTCAGGATTTCACCCCATTCCTCGACACCCAGATAAAGATCGACGAACAGGGAACACTACACCACAAATTCTACAGAAAGAAGCAGAAAAAGAATATCACACTGCACGCCAACAGCCACCACAATGAGGGAACTAAAGTAGCAACCATCAAGAACTTCTACAAAACGGCTGCTTTTTGCTCATCAACACCAGAGTATAAAGAAGAGTCCATGAAGATAGTAGACAACTTGTTGGTCAACAACGGTTACCAAGACCCACGACGTATAAACAAAACAGGACGACTTCACCCTCTCTCACCTACAACACGGCATAACCCTTCATCATCAAACATACAAGATACCGACCACGTAACATGCACTCTACCATTCATCAACGAGCCATTTTCCAAAGAAGTCACTCAATTTGCCCTCTCACACAACTTACCGGTCAAATTCATATTCACACCAGGTAAGAAACTCTCAGAGATCTTATGTTCATCACGACCACACGACAAACCACACTGCACCATACCAAACTGTATCATATGTCCACTCATCACAACAAATCACGACTGCAAACCAAAATGTGTCATATACAAAGTTACGTGTAAATTATGTCAAGAGCTATATATAGGGGAAACGAGTAGAACAGCACACGATAGATTTTCAGAGCATCGAAGAGCAGTCAACAGGCCTTTAACCTATCCTGATAATGCGTTGGCTGCTCATTATTCAGAGTTTCACGATAACATAGAACCAGATATTTCCTTCGATATTTTAGAAATTAACTTATATAGCACCATTAAACGTAAAGTGACAGAAGCTTACTACATTAATTTATTTAAACCTAGTATCAATAACAAAGAAGAGTGCGAGAAGCTTAAGGGATTTCTTTTACAACATATTCAAAGAAAAATTTAAACAAATAGCACACGACCCTGCTGTTCAGTAGATATTATGTACTTGGACAGAGTGTAAAACGTGTGTACATCACTATTTTCAATGTAATGTACAATACCATTTGATGTAACCTGTATTCAGTGTGTGTAATTTTAATTTAGCATTTTAACTAGTATAGAAGCATTTATTATATACTAACATTTATAACAATTTTAGCCTGAAGATGGCGTTGACGCCGAAAATTTGCCCTTACTCCTAACTTCCTTGTTTCACTTGTCCTTGTCTCTTCCAACCGGATAATATCCAGATATCAGTATTTTAACTTTATATCTAAGATAACTTGTTACATCCTACTGTTAAAACAAAATTAAACTTATCATAGGATCCAGTGAATTTAGTTTAGAAAGTTCAATCATTCAGTTCCTGTACAAAACTAGAACGTGTTTCTTGGTTATTCTTAATTATTTAATTTACTGTTTGCAACATAATACTATAACATAATGGCATCGCTACATCTGACACTGGACACAGGATCATCATACTCGCCAAAGACAATTTTTCAGTCGAGTAGATATACCAAATAAGTTATGATGTTCATCGACGGGTGGAAGGGGGATTGTCGGTAGTTTCGTGCAAAACTGCCGGGTAGCCAGGACTTTCTATTTTTATTAATGGACATGTTCATTGGAAGTTGAGATTATTGGTACACATACAAACATATTAACCAAGCATGTTCAGAAGTTCTCAACACAGAAACTTTATTGTTGTTATGCACTATCATAATGTTACAAGTTACAACTACAAGTTTGAATTTTTGTGAATCTGTTAACTATAGCTGCCTATAGTTAACAGTATAGTATTCCTTATTCTGAAATGTAGTAGATTACTAATTAGATCAATCTAACAATCATAAAACATCATTGGTTAAAGAGCAGGGATTCGACGGTTATAAGGCAAGATTTGGTAAACTTTGTCGCACACTCAGAATATGATACCTATTTTCTACTGTGTCCTAAAAACTTAATAATATCAGGCTCCACCTATGAATAGAAGAATCGTCCATCAGGATGATGAATAATTTTGCAGTGCCAGTATTTTGTCGGTTGCATTCGATTTTATCTTACCCATTTAATTAAATTTTTTAACATTGAAGAACAAATGAACAGTTTAACGTACGGGAGTCAAGCGAACTAGGATAATCGAATAGTTGTAATTACTTTTTTATAGTTTCTAAATATAAATATAAGATTTGTGTCTGTTCGTGGTCTTGCAATAATTAGTCAAAGCCATATAGAATAGATCATGCCGATATCTTTCCAGAATGAAGGTATCTTTTATTAAATTTTATTTCCTTTTCAGAAATAGATGAAAGTGAAGAAGATGATGAAAGTGAACAGGGAGACAACCAGAACTACTCTGCTGCAGCAGCCCTGAAAGTCAGCTCAATTTTCCTCGTCGTTCTCAGCTGTTTGCTGTAAATATGAGAATTTAAAATTGTTTTGGACTGGAATGGTTCTACGGTACAAAAAACTATCTTAACATGGTGTTTTATCGGGATGTGATAGAAAAAAATAATAACTCAAAAACCCGGACGAATCTATAAATTTATAATCTATAATTAAACTTTTGATATTTAAAATTTTAATATTTTAGACAACTTTTAATGTTTTAATAAAAGAATAAAAGAAAGAGACTGCGAATTGGTAATTATTGATATTCATTATATGTTTATTCAGAATACTTATTATATTTATTGTAATATAAATTTTTTCCCCGATCCATGACTCTTGTGTCAGGACTAGGAACGTGAACGAAGCCTTTTTTATTTGGACCGAGTTAAATTGTTATGTATTGTTATGAGATGAGTGTCTCCATCACAGCTATAGCTTACACCAAATCATCAACCACTGAGCCATGGACCAATCTGAACCGTCACCAAATTAACCGACACAAAAGATCAGAGTTTCCAACTGGAGGAAAAATATCGAATGATA